GTAGCTGCAGAGGCAGCTTGCAGTTCGTGGTAGCTGTCCAACTGAAATACCTCCACTGTAGTAGTTGATGCCAAGGTATTTTAGGCTTTGTCTAACTCATCTGGATGGTCTGTGGAAGTAGCTTCTAGAGGTGCTTTAGTATTCCAAATCTTGCTAAGCAGGTGTCAGATATAGAAAGCTGCTGTTAACTCCCAAACACAACTAAACTGAAAAACCACCTTTGGCCAGACTTCTGGCACAACTCCAACTTATAAACTTGTCTAGGGAGGATCTCTTGTACCTCCCATCACCTTTGGCACTGACTTATCCATGCTGCCCTTTCAAAATTCCTAAGAAAAAGGAAAAATAAGAATTAACATTGGAGTTACTGCTGATTCTGATCTAAGTTTCCTGTAAAGGGATTTCTGTGGAACATACTGCTTCTCATTACTCTTTTGAAATAATTTGGCCAGAAGCACCCAGAAAAAAAGAGGCTTGCTATTAAATATATACAATTACAGCTCAGCTAGTTCTGGAATCTAACTATCAAATCCAGTCATTAGGCTTTAATTTTCATTAGGTGCAATCTCTAGCTGTGGACTGTAATAGCTGTATTCAATTCTAGCTACAGATAACCTACTGTCTAGTTCTGTGGAGAATGCAGATCAAGGAACTTTGCCCACCTTAGGTACCAAACTACCTGCACTGCAACGCTCTGCATGTTCCACACCTCTTACCCAAGCAAATCGTTGCACCAAAGAGCAAGACTACAGGCCCAAATCAGCTGGTAGGAAGACTCCTACAATGGCCTCCCCAGTACCAGGAGGCCCTTTCCTTCGTCCTGTTCATCAAGTACCCCTTGTTCCCCATGTACCACTTGTACGACCTGCTCATCAACTGCACCCAGGATTGGTCCAGAGAATGATGGCACAGGGGGTCCATCCGCAGCATCTTCCTCTGCTGCAAGCAGGTAATCCATACTCTTTTTCCTGTTCATGCATGTTCTCTCTGAGACTGACTTTGTGTTAGGAACAGCACAAACTGATACTACTGGTAGTCTTTATTATATCAGAACTTACCTTTAAAATCAGACAATAAATTCCAACCCTTCTAAATACATGTTTTGTTTTGCATTAAGTTCCTTATGCTTATCAGGTAAGAATTTTTCTTGCTCATGTTCAACAGGTATGCTTCCTCCTGGAGTGGACCTGTCTCACTTGCAGGGAATATCTGCTCCCATCCTTGGCCAGCCTTTTTATCCACTACCAACAGCAAGCCATCACATCCTAAATCCACGCTCGGGGACGCCTTTGCAGCTTGCCATGATGCAACAGCAGCTACAACGATCAGGTAGGCTAAGATAAACAGGAGGAGTGTGAGTTCTAAAAGGCTACTTTCTGGGGTGTTGAATGCACTGTGCTAGCAGGAAGCTAATTTAATTTAGTTATTCATGATCGCTAACCTTGTGTGGGTCTCAAGTGGTTTGGGCCACTGCAGGCAGTTATGCCAGAACAAAGTCCAAGTGAAGTGTTTGGTTTCAGAACATGTGTTGCTACTGACAGATCTGACTCTTGCAGCATGTGTGCAGGCTTTCAGCCTTCCTGGGCCACAGGCCACCCACCTTCTCCAGGGAAATGCTATTTGATCCTGGTCTTCCCTTCAAACCCGCGTGACACCGTGTCTGGAACTGGCAGTGTCAGGCCATTTATGGGAGTACTAATGAAAATAAACACGTGGTACCTGGACTTCCTGGGGCTCATAGAATGAATAAAAGCCACATTCAGCTCACATGCCTTATCAGGTGATAGCTCGAGGGCAAATCTGTGCTGGGTGTTACTCCACCTCTAATAGCTTTACATTTCACAGGCTCTGGAGCACAGGGATCACCTGCTGGTGCACAAACAGCCCCTCAAAACGTGCTGCCTCGGACTGGATTATCTCACGGGCACACACAGCTTGACCATCGCCCCAGCCAGAGAAGTGGCTCTCCCATTGGCCTTGCAAAATGGTTTGGTTCAGATGTCTTGCAGCAGCCTCTTCCATCCATGCCATCCAAAGTCATCAGTGTAGATGAACTGGAATACCGGCAGTGAACAGTGACCACTGGGTGGAACACTTGTGATTCTTTAGACTGGATGAAAATGTCCATAGTCAGGACTTCACCTCTGTTTGGTTTTTTGAGGCTTTTATTTTTAGCACTCTGTGCAAAATTTCCTTTTGAGAGACTAAAGCACATGGCACCTGTTCTGGTCTCATGTCTGCATCAAGACTAAAGGATCCATTATGGCTTGGATAGTGAAGCCTGAAGAAATTTAGATGCACGACAAAGCCAGTTTAATCCTGGAAGTGTCTATTTTTTTTTGTTTGTTTTTGTAAGATATGTGAATGAAGTGCTGATATTCTCTAGTGTAGAGGTAGCAGCTATGGATTCCTTCTGCAGAAAACTACATGTATAGACCCTTCTGTACAGACTTGTGTATAAACAATCTTTTGTACATACACACCTAGAATAGCCTTTTTGAATCTATACAGCTGTACATAAGAGTAGCTGGTTAACAGTTGAGCTTTAGTTGTGCCTATGGTTTGGACCTTTCTCCATTGTACGTGTGGGACTTTCTTTAAGATTAAAGTTGCATATCCTAAGTGTGAGTGAACAGGATGAAGTTGCTTTGCCTTTTCTTGCTGCTCATCTCCTCTAGGTCTCCCTCTCACATTTTTCTGTCACGTACTGTGCACTCAGTGTAGCTAAAGTGTCAAAGTAAAAGCCCACATCTTGCTGTCTATGTAACAAAGGTCTGATTCCCTGTGACTCTTGCCACCAAATGAGAGAATTGTTTAGTCTTCAGAAGCCTTGAGGATGGGACCTGGTGCAGTCATGATAAAGCCAGATGTTCAGTCTGTAGGTACCTACTGGTTGTTGCTCTTTCAAGAGGGCTGGTGCTGGTTCTTATTTAGCTGCAGTATTTTCCTTGTTTTAATCTTTCAAGCCAGTTACTAAAGGTCATCAAAATGGAGCCTTGGAATCCTCACCCTTCAACTCCTCAGTCATAGCTGTGGATATTCTGTACTGCCTTCAGTGCTGTTCATAGAAGGGAGTCCCAAGAACTGTCCTCAATCTAGTGTGCATCTGGTGATGCCATTACTGTGAAACTTGCCTTTGGAGTCTTGTGGCTTGAAAGGGGGAGGATATTGGGGTAGTTTTGTGATCTTACTGTGTATATTTGGTTTTAAAATACTATGTTCCTTTTAAGCCTGTTTCACTTCCCTGAACAGTTCAATGTTCTCTTCCATCCTTCTGCATGGTTGCTCACTTCACTCCCTCACTTGTGTTGAGTCTAGTACTGCTGTCATGTCCTCTACCTAGCTTAGGCCATTGTGCTCTTTTAAGAGGTGAAAGTAAAACCAGAACTCTCACAGACTTGCTCTTTCTTAGGTCTCACTGAAAGCAAAACCAGCAGCAGGAAGAAAAAAAAAAAAATCACTTGTCTGTATTATAACCCTTGCCAGCGTGCTGTGGTGGTTTGTTTCAGTCCAGCAGAGACAGAGTTGTATGGAAATAGCAAGCTGAAATCTCCAACGTGGAAGTGTTGGAAGTCACCCGTACTTCTAGTGGTTGTTCCCAAAACAATCCCTGTAAAACATGCAATCACCAGCTTGTCCCTGTAAGATTGTTTTCATACTTTTTTAACTTGACACTTTCCCAGTAACATTCTGTAAATAAAGTTGATTCTACCAGCTCTCTGTATCAATTGCTCTTGTACTAAAGTGTCAGAATACTGATTTTTTTTTTTTTTTTTCCCCCACTCTTCTTGTGGGTAAGATGGAACTGGGGTTTGAGTTAAGATGCAGAAAACTTCAATTAGTCCAGGGGTGGGGAGGATCAGTCTGCTTTGGTAAGAGTAACTGGCCTCACTGATATGACCCAGGATGGAATTGCTGCATTCAAATGTCATGGTTGAGTGTGAGGAATTGAGGCTCAGTGTATTAGAGGCTGTAAAACTTAACTAGCTTTAAATAAAGTATGAATGTGAGGAAACAGCAGTAAAACCCCATCTGACTAACAGCCTCATCTTCTGCCCCTTCCACTCAGGCTCATAAACCAAGCACACCTGCAGCAGTTCAGCTCACTTATGCAGAGATCTAGAAAAAGTACAGGTAGAAATGCCTGGAGTAGAATCAAGGCTTGGCTGTTTCCTTACCAGGCTGAATAGCAGTCACTGTTCCATGCATTTAGTGCTTGAGTGGGTGTCTCCAATCACTTTGTCTTCTTGAATGTATAATAACAGGAGGGGGAGTGGTTTTTGTGCATCTAAATAAACACCCCTATAATTAGACACCCCTACTTCCTTTTTGTAGGAGAGCAAATGCTGGAGGCTGATGCATTTGAGAAGTGCTCTTGACATGAGCTAAAAGCTCATCTCTATTAAGCAACAGAACCACTCTAAGACCAATGTGCTTCTCTTGGGCACCTTACTTCTTTATCTAGGCAGGAAATTCTTTCAAGAAAACTTAAAAGCCTCCAGTCATACAAGCAGCTAGCTCACTTCCACTAGTCTAAACAATTGAAAAGCAACTGCTCCTGAGCAGAACTGCCCAGTTTTTCCACAACTGCAGGACTATTTATAGCCTTGAACTATTCCAACAAGAACACTTTCAGATAAAGGCAGCTGGAACTCTGTCCTCTAGCATTGTTTCATAAGATATAGTTCTCTAGCCTTTGCTTTTCATGTTTTGTTCTTAGAACAAAATAATTCCTGATGTGTGAACATTTTTCTAATTTTGAAAGACATGTACATGCAGCAGAACCTTATCCCTGTAACCAAAGCTGCTTGTAAGATTTTTGCCCTTGTGAAAGTCACTTAACCAGAGTTTTTCATCTCTAAGTTCTGCTGGAACAAGCCACTGCAGTGTAAGTTAGCCAGAAACATCACTTTTACCATGCAGCAAAGCACTATAATAGAAAGCCATTTCTAAATCAAAACGGGGGGAGGGGGGCTGTCATTTACAATTAATGACAAATGTCAGGCACAGCAAACCATGTAAGAATAAGTTTATTTCTTCACAATCTGAATAACGTCCTCATCTTCAAGAGTATGGTCTTTACCAACTTTTTGAGGGTTGTGTTTAACAGATGAACCCCAGACCAGTGCACTGAAAGAAGAAAAATCAAATTGAAGAGGCTCAGAAGTATGATATGCAAGCAGAACAGCAGCTATTTCTGTCACAAAGCTAATACAGAAAGCAATGCTTCGGAGCTATTTTTATTCTCCTGTAAGTACCTGGCTGAATGGTTGGTGTGAACCAGCGTTAGAAGCAGATCAAAACAAAGCCTGAAGTTGTTCTGAGTACCCAAGTGCATGGGACAGTGGCTTGCAATGCTGTGTCTAGTGCTACTTTTAAACAGCAAAATAAATTTTTCTACACAAAGGAGACAGTTGTAGGAAAGAGCATGAGAACATCAAATACAGTAACTGAAGTACTAAGTTTGATTATCAGGCAGATTTCTTCAATTTAACATTAAAAAATATCCTGGTATTCCCTTTTAGTTTAAAAGAGGATGAAATAATATACCTGAAGGCAAGTTATTTTCTATTCTATATATTCTTTTGCAATAATACTTACTATTTAAAGTCTTTTATGAGATTTTTGTGGATCTTCATGCAAAAATCCTCCACTGTGGTCTTGCAGGAAGGTAGCACCACAGGAGAGCTGTAGTCTGGGAGCTGCCCTTTAGGTTTGGTGTAGCTGTAACACAGATGGAACCATCAGTCAATACCAAAACTTTCTTTTTCAAACCCATCATGACATTTCATTAGTGATTTGCACTGTCACCCTCGGTGTGTGGGCCAAGTCCCACTACTCCAGTGGTGACAATGGATACACTCTAAAACGTTTGGTGGACCTAAGCTGAAAATGCATCTGGGCAGCCAGTGGCTGCACTGGGCTCTCCCTTTTAACTGTAAAGGTTTCTCACTTGTGAGCTTTCTGAAGGTGCTTTAAAAAAAGCCAAATAGCAATAGTTGTTGGAAAAGAACATCTTTAGTATTATGGTTCCAAGTTCCATTTTTTTTTCTATGAAAACTTCAACATCTATTCGAAAAAGCACCTGGTGAAGTCTCTAGCATAGATACCTAGACCACACATACAAGGGATTGTGAAATGCCTTTTCACAATATATTCTATATTATTACAAGAAGATAGATATAAATTTAAAAGACAGTAATTATTATGTGTAGTAGTAAATTCATTTTTAAGTTCATCCAAAAATGCCTATGAATTATGAGGTAAACCTGGAATAACTTGTAGTAAAAATATCTGAAATTCTAGTTCAAAGTTCTGTCAAGAGAGCTGCATCCATGACAGACGGAAAAGATGATTACACCTGGAATCACAGTGTTACCACGAAGTTTGACTAGAGTTCCATGTTTTCAGGAATTTTTTAAGATATGCTTTTGTCTTGGTTTCACAAGGCTCTCATTTAATTCCCCTACAAATTCAAAGCAGCACTTGTGGCTATCACACAACAGCTAAGACGAGCACAATTTCTGGGTTTAAAGCAAACACCAGTTAGCAGAAAAGCATTATAAAATGTTCCTCATCCACTCCCGAGACCTTTTTCAATCTCAGCCACACACTTAACTCCACAGAAAGCAGCAATTTTGACTCACATTCGGACTAGTTTCAAGTAGTCCCAGATTTTCTCCAGCAGATCATCAAAGTTCCAGCGATGATGAGCAGATATCGGTACACAGTGGGGTACTTTGTAAATGATATCTAGCTCTTCAATGGAAATTTGGTCAATTTTATTTAGGACATAAATGCATGGGATGTAAACCCTGCAAAGAGAAAGAAATTGTTAGAGCAACCTAACAGCAGCACGCTGCTACCTGCACTGCAAAAAAAAATGTTTTTAGAAAGCTTATCCCTATGTTGGTGCCACGTTGGTGGCTCAGCTTCTGTGGGAAGCAAACCCAAAAGCCAGTTATTTTCTCTGGAACACAGACTGCACACATGCCACAGGCAGGGAGCCAGGAGTACCTGTTTCCTTCCACAACGTCAATCAGGTCATCGGCAGTGGCGTCGCTGCGCAGTGTGACGTCAGCATTGTGGATTTTGTACTCTGCTAAGATGCTCTTCACTGTCTCAGTATCCAGCTCACTCTGAGGACACTGAACAGACAGACACAGTGTTAAGGAATGGCACAGCTAACAGCCAAATCATGTATTACAATTAACAGTGCTGTCACCCAGCAACCACCTAATATACATCACTAGAAAGAACAGCTGCATTTTAAGTTACTGGACATGACTGATTTCATCATAGCTGGTCTGACCAGAGGGAAAAACAGACTTAAATCCTAACAACTTCATTTTTATTAATGCCCCACTGAGACCTGCAATCAGACATTTCAGAAGCAGTGTTTCCTTCCAGTTTGGGACCAGATGCAACACAAACCCACAGATCTAGTTCAGAGCCCTGACAACTACACTTTAGGTACTCAGAGCACAGTGTTCTGACTTTTGGTATCTCTGGCTATTTCTGTGCTTTTAAATATTCAGGGAAATGGACTGCAAGGCCTGAAACTCAGCAATACTCTCTGGAAGAACATTGCAGCCAGCAAGTAAGAGGCAGGTTTTGCACACTCTCCTTTGGATCTCAAACTTGTGATGTGTGGAAAGCAACCGAGGTTCTGTTTTGAGGGCACGGAAGTGATCAGGCTCCAGGAGAGCTGTGGATGGCCTCTAAGGAAAGTATCTGACTGCAGCACAGCTGCAGGAAGTGCAGGACAGCAGTTCAGCTCCTAAAGAAATCCCAACACAGCATGGTCCCAGACATACCATCAACTACAAATGCCTCTTTCTTCAAGCAATTTGTTTTTTAATTTTGGTTAAAGAAAACTTCCAACTTACTGTGGCTGTAAGGTTAATGCCTCCTTTATCCTTTTTTTTAAAGCCAATATTGGGGGGCTTACTATTCAGACGAATTCCAAATCCCTCCAGTTCATTCTCAATTATTTTCTTGTGGCCAAGAGGTTTCAGCACGTCCAGAACAATCAGAATGAGATTACAAGTTCGAGCAACTAAGAATCAGAAAAAGAAAGCCACCTCTCAAAAAGCATGCTCACACAGCCTGAGACAAACCAACCACAATATGGCTCAGTGGAGTGATGGCATTATGAAAGCCCTGAAGGCCAGCATATTGGTTATTTTTAAATACCAGTGTAGGACTGAAGTTTATTGTGCTGGCCAAGCATCACTGATAGACAGATCTTTACATGCTGTAAGAATGACAGAGGCTGGAAAAAATCTTCCTGTCTCCATTCAGATACCAGACTGAGGACAATTAACTGGGTGAGGAAATGAAAACAGCAGCCTTGTTTAGGATGGGATCAGATCTGCCTGCAAAACTGGCAAAGTGTTTTCACTGAAGTGTCAATGCAAAGCACAACCCAGCAAGTGCACAAAGCCAGAACAGAAAACAACAATATGAAAGCAGCTACTGCCTCTCAGCAGGCAACTCAAGTCCAGCAAACAATCCAGCTTTTTTAAGAAACTAGAAACAGTGATTCAACCCTCCATTCTCCTGTACTGTCTTAAATGAACCAGTGACAGGCTGCTGTCTCCAGCTCTAACATACTCACCTGCAATGACCTGCCGTCCTCTGCCTTTACCATCTTTGGCACCTTCAATAATTCCTGGCAGATCAAGCAGCTATTTGTTCATAGGAAGGAAAGTATCACATGAGAAAAGTATTCTTCATTAAATCAATCCTACTTTTACCCTTCTAAACCAGCTGACTCTACTGCAAATCTGAACAGAGTATGACAAGACTGTTTCCCATTTGATTGTTATATATTGTATTATCCCATGTGCCCTATTGGTACAGTGGAGCAGATCATCTCATAGGGAATAATTAGAACTACTGCTGAAATTCTTCCCAGAGCAAAGTGAAAAGCAGGGAAAAATCCATACCTCATGGAAACATTTCCAAGGTATTCTCAAATACTTTTACGCATCACTTTTAACCTGCAAATGTCAGGCCAGACCACTCAACCCTAACAGCACAGCATCTACAGAGCCCAGCTTACCCTCACAGACACAAGATCTCACCTGGATCTTTGCTCCTTTGTACCTAATGACTCCAGGAACAGTAGTCAGTGTAGTGAATTCATAGGCTGCCACTTCAGAATACACACCAGCAAGATTACTTAGAAGAGTGGATTTCCCCACTGATGGAAAACCCACAAACCCAATGCGGGCATCACCCGTCTTTGCAACATCAAAACCTGTAAATAAGGAGTAGAAGTATTTGTCTAATGATTGACATTTTCTATCTTCTAATGTTCTGGACAGCAGATACACTATTATTTTTAATACTGCCTGAACAAAAGCCAAGTAAGCTTTCCTAGAAGAAGGATGAGGGTGGGAAACAGATTGTTCACAATCTTTATTGCCTTGCACCACCTTGTCTCTGTAGCATTCCATGACATAAAATCTTGGCTGCAAAGCTTCACAGTAGACTGTATTTGACTTGAGTCTAAGTGAAGCATTTCCTTTAAGCACTGCAGCTTAGAAAATCCACAACTTCATATATAAAAACAGGTGGCTGCTGCAAAGGTGCTTCTTCATGTAAAAGCCTTAAGATTTCTGCAAACACCAGATTATATGAGCCAAAATATAAAAGCACTTCCATCTACACTTCAGGCTCCAGCTCAGTCCTAGGAAAGGCCACTGATCATGGTTAGAGGTCCTGTACCGGGTAGGACAAGAGGAACTGAGGACGGAACAGGCTGCCCAGAGAAGCTGTGGCTGCCCCATCTCTGCAAGTGTTCAAGGCCAGGTTAAATAGGGCTCTGAGCAATCTGATCTAGTGGAACGTGTCTCTGCCATGACAGGATCTAGAACGAAATGATCTTTAAGGTCTCTTCCAACCAACCCCTTCTGTGATTCTACGACTGTTTAGCAGATAATCTGACATGATTTATGCGGACAAGAGCCCCCAGCTAGATTGACTTCCGTCACACCTCCCGCACTTCGGCAGCTCCTGCATAGACAACGCACCTTCCCCGGGGCCGCCGCCGCCGCCTCCCTTGGGGGTGATGAGCTCCCGGCGCAGCTTGGCCAGACGGGCCTTCAGCAGCCCCAGGTGGTGGGCGGTGGCCTTGTTCTTCTGCGTCCGGGCCATCTGCAACGGCACAGGACCGAGGGTTCGCACCGGGAGGACCCTGCCGCCCTCGGCCCCTGCGCGACGACGCCCGGGGACAGGGCCCCGCCACCCCTCCACGGCGCGGCCCAGCGGCCGTCCCCCTCCCCGGCCCGAGCCCCGAATCCTCCCCGTTCGGCGCTCCGTGCCCGGCTCATCCCGCGAGAGGCGGGGGGCGGCGGTGCGGTACCTCCGCCTCAATCTCCGCGATCTTGGCCAGGGTGCCGCTCATGGTGGCGTCGGGCCCGGCCCTCCCGGCCGCCCCTCAGCGCCGCCGCTCCTCGCGCACCGGTCGCGGCCGCGCACGCGCACGGCGACCTCTCGCGAGAGGCGGCGGGCGGGAAAGGGCGCGCGGCGCGCGCCGCCGGCTTCGCGCGCTGCCCTGAGGGGAGGCGGCGTAGCGCCCCCTGGGCCGTGCGCGGAGCGCGCGCCGCCTCACAGAAAGAGCGGGGAGCGCTGTGAGGGGCGAGTGTGAGGGAGAGGTGCCCAACTGTGGGATCGGTGTGTGTGAGGGATCCATATGTGTGAGGGATCGGTGTGTCTGGGAGATCCATGTGTGAGGGATCCGTATGTGTGAGAGATCCATGTGTCTGAGGGATCGGTGTGTCTGGGAGATCCGTGTGTGTGAGGGATCCGTGTGTGTGAGGGATCCTTGTGTGTGAGGGGGATTGGTGTGTGTG